ATTTAAATTATTTCACTTCCTCACCTCGCTACTCCGAAATTTTTTTATTTTATTATTAATATCAACTATAACTATGGTAGTGCTGTATACGACCTTTATTAGAACATAATAAATAACTTAGTACAAAGTCTAATATATAAAATTCTGGTCACAATGTTCGAACTCCTCCGAAACGGCTCGACAGATTTTCACAAAATTTGATATGTGAGCGAGAATAGGACAACATCTATTTTTTTCCCCCTAAGTGATAAGGGCAATTCACCCTTAATTTTTTTTTATTTTTTAGACAAAATTTTTAATTTCTATTTTTTTAAAACAACAATTATTTTCACTTTGTCTTTGTGCCTTTTTTTAACTAAAATTTCTTTTTTAATAGACATTTTAGTAAAATTATTTATATGGCAATTGTTGCCGGCTCAGCTAGTAATATATATTAATAGTATGTTTCGATCTGTTGATTATCGTGAATAAATAAATTTCAAATACCTACGTGTAACGCAAGTTACCGAGAAATAGACACAAAAAAAAACACTTTTTAAAATGGTTTAAAGCGTTAAAAATTTATAAGCATTTCGTGACTAGTTTTCTTAAACCCTTACGGGACCTTGAGATGGTAAGAGTTATGTGAATACAACATATATTTTAGCTAATTTGGAGTTAATTAGAGATGCCATTAGAAACAAGAGGGTGTATAGACTCTCTATAATTTCATACGTTTTATTATGACATTCATTAAAAAAAATATCGATTCAAGCACTCGTTTCGATTATTCAATCGTTGAATATCGGTAACGATTTTTGTTGAAGGGAAAAATATTGCCCTAGAAAAGGGTTAAAACACAAGAAGTATCGAATGTAACAAATCCGTTAAAAGCTGTTTTATTCAACTATTATTTATTTCACACAGGTACAGAAAACCTATTTTTCTATCAGCAACGCTACAAATCTCGATATATTCCAACAATAACCGTTATAAAATCCAAATGGCAGTGTCGTGCTAGGGTCAAGGAGATAAGCTAAGTCGCAGATTGATTCTCGGATCAAACTCGAAGCAGTGAAGTGGAGTCGATCCTTTTTCTCGATTCGTTGACCATTACGAGTGTCTCCTATAATGGGATTTGGACAACACTCTCTAGTTAGGGGCACTGAGCTGGTGTTTGATTCATGAACAGCTTTTCAGAAATAAATATGTCCGTATAACTTAAACATTGATTTTAGATTGAAATAATGTTACGACACAGGCGGGACTTAAACCGGTCCAGAGCGTTATGTGCTGTTGCTTCGACTGAGTCACTCGTCATCGTCGAATGGCACGGTATGGAGGCCGGTTCAAGTCCTGTCCGTGACGATTTTTATAATATTTTCTAGTGCGTCTTGTACTATGTAAGGTTTAAGTATTTGATGTATTTTTCCTAGGGTCTGTCTTTTTGTCCTATAGCAACGATGTAGTTTTTTATGGTTTTTCTAGAGCGAGTAGAAAAGGTAGGTGGTTTATTAAAGTTTCATTGTAAAATTTTATCTTGAAGTTCTTTTAGTTGGTTAACAACAGTAAATAAAACACTTTAACGGTTTAAAACGCGATATATTAGTTAAACTTATTTGGAAATGATTTTTAACTTCGCCCCGACGTTTTTGGGTTGCTTTGCAGCAAAGTTAAACAAATATATCGCGTTTTAAACCGTTAAAGTGTTTTATTTAAATGTGTACTACTCGCGTAAACTATAGACAGTATTTAGTTAACAACAGTATAAGTCTTAGGCTTATTTACTCATGGACGATGACCCGTGATGAAATTTTGATATTCCAATATGTACCTATGTAGTAGTCCAATATGTTTTAGAAAAAATATACATTGATAAGAAGTATGTCGGTCCCGATGGGAATCGAACCCGTTGATTACTAACTATATCATCACTATCATTAGACGTCCGATATTATTTTTATTTTTATATCACTTTACCTACTCTCTGTACGTTAGTTTCCGTTTCAAGTTACACGACGCAAGAGCTGGTCCGCCGTAATTTAGCGAAGTGCGAAGTTCGTCCCACCAGGGGGTACGTTTGTAGGTGTAAGAATATTTGCTGTAAGCCTCGAATATTCCGCGGTGTTGCCGCACCCAATAAATCCTGGAGAGTGATATCGCTTTTTGTTGGGCGACATTTTTTCCCGCGCCCACAGAGCATATATCACTAGCAGTGACTTATACGACTGTCTCAAGACCCGTTTGAATCGCGTTGTTTTTGAAAAAGACCTTTTTCAACACTTAATAAGTCATGTTTACTTTACGCTCTTTTTGCAAACATATAATAGAGCTCAAAATTGCATTGGCGTCGCTAAGTTAATGGGAAATTAGTGCGTTACATTTGACAATTACGTTTACAGATCTCAATCTATACTAATATAATGTTGAAGAGTGTGTTTAGGTATAAACACTTTAACGGTTTAAAACGCGAAATATATTTTCGTATTTTGGGTTTTCTCGAACTCGCACCGCTTGCAACTGAAGCTCTAAATTAACAAACGAACTCTTCAACTTTATAATATTAGAATAGAGTTCTGCTGACAGTTCTTTACTTAAAAATACTTAATTTTTAGTTATACACACTAAATGTGTATTTTTAATATTGTCTGTAGTTTACGCGAGTAGTACGCATTTAAATAAGTGAACAACAAGTTTTAAAACGCGAACGTCGCGCTGTTAAAATTAATTTAATTAATATATTCCGTGTTTTAAACCGTCAATGTGTTTTATTTAAATAAATATTTTAACATAGGAAACGACGGAACAAAGACATCTCTATTCATCGCTTAAACCGCAAAACCAAACCAGCAGAGCGGAACTTAAAAAGACCAATCGTAAACATTAAATGTGCGTCCCTCGGTATCTGGGCTCAAATAAAATTAACTAAAGCCTATCCCGGGGTTCTCTATACCACATGCCCTTTCTTCTGAAATGCGATTAAAACTGAATGGCTCCATATGTCGTCGGCAGTGGCCGTTGCGTCACAATCACATGGGCCAATGCATTTTCAATTTGCCGCGAGATAAACGCGACTTTTGGATGTTTTTCTGCGCAATGGCGGAATTGATCCGGTGACTTATGGCGGGCGAAGACGGGACGGACGATCAGTTGAGGCGGTTGATATTATATTAAATGCCCGTTTGACCGGCAAATAAGATGGGCTGTAGGTTTTTTTATAGAGGACGACAGACAAGCTTGAGGTAAAACAGTCGTATAACATCTGAACACGATGCGTTGTCGTCCTATTTTGACTTTAGTTATTTGGAAATCCATCCATAGACCGCTTTTGCATTTGTAGACGGTGTGCTCGCGACCCGCGAATTTTGATATTCTTATCAAACTTTACATCCAGAAAAATAAGTATTATCTGTGATTCAATTTTTTTCTTTGCTTAATATTATGTTAAACGCGAGGCGACCTCGGTTCGAATCCCTTGGGAAACAATCCGATTGATATTTTCGATCGGACAGGGCCCACATCTGATCGAATACTTGACTGCAAATACTTTTTCTCATATTAATTGACTTATTTTACCTAACATAATGGTTACGATGTATCATTGCTGATGTATTTATATTTTTATTCACTTACTTATGACATCATTAATTAGTAAGTAGTAACGTCCCCAATGACCACGAGTGCTACAAAGCACCCGTCGGGCCATAGTTTCATTAAATTTAAAATGCTCATTAAGTATTCAGTTAACTAATATATTACGCATTTAAAACGTAGAAAATGCTTTATTTAAATCATTGGAATTTATATTCTTATACTATAAACATTTGTCAGTTTTACTAGTTAAGTATTTTTATGGCATGCATTATAATCAAATTCATATATAGTTTCTCTTATCTACTGTTATATATTTCGACACAAAATTTCGACTATAGGACCATATGTTATTATGCTATATTAAATGTAACGTAAAATATAAAATTAATTACTTTATTCGTAGTATGTTTAGTGAGTCGTCGCGCATAGGCATGTGATATAAATTAAGCCGTAAATAAACAGACGTCTTTCTTCTTGATATATATACCACATTCCTTTTTTATTAAGGTTCTATAAAAAAAGGTTTTATGGAATGGAAATAGGAAACGAAGATCAAAATAAAAACCATATTGAAATATCAATAATTATTGATAATTTATTCGCAATTTTATTTAAAATACACAACTTCACATTGTATCGTTTTTAAAACTAAAAATGTATGTACGGGATATACTGGGCTGTTTTGCACTGTGACAGATCACTAGTATACAATTTTCATCGTTTACCCAACTAGAATTCTTTACAATTCATTATGTACAATTCGGTTGAGGTCTCATTTGCGGACACAGCGATTATCACAACTAAATCATACACAACGGTACTGTGTTCGCAACTCAAACCCGCCAATTTTATGGCCACACAATACTTAATTTTTACAGTACAAATATTAACGGATTAATGGCATTTGAAACAACCGAACGTGACCCGACTTTCACTATATTCAATCCAATATTTACAAACTTACGATATATAAATTACTATTGCGTTCGATAAAATCTAATCTTTACAAAAAATAAAACTCGAAGTGAACACATCCCGAACCTACGAAACGAATCGAATTAAATAAAAACAAATTTATACAAGAACGGCGTATAACTTATTATTTACAAAATACACATGATTAACGATATCTAATACATTCGTCTAATATTAGCAAACTTATCAAAATTTATAATACTGTACAATTTCTCTAGTTTGTAAAACACTCGGTTATAACTTGTCGCATCGCGGTGTCGAGTCTGGGATATGTTTTGTATAGTTTTGTAAACATCAATTCTGCAACAGTCTTATAAATTAGGTGACGTGTCAAGTGAGAATCTATCAGTACATCGCTATACGTTTGTGAAATCACAGTATCTATTTGTGAGTCTCGTCTAAGGTTGGCTAAACGCCTCGACAGTATAAATAGTCCTGGTGCCAGTGGCTTATCACGTGTATTCACTCCTCCAGCCGGTCTGAAAAGAAGAAAGACTTGTTAGAAGAAATACAGACAAATCAAGAACCAGCGGATGTAAATTAAAAGGCTGCAACACACAATGTTACAATGTGAAGACACTACTTTGTATGATAAATTAAACCCCATAAAAAATAAATATCCCAATCATGGAAATAAGATCTGCTGCCAACCTATTTTGGCTTTGCATATTCGAAAATTCACAGACTGAACCAAAACGCGATTAGACATCTCGGTTTTTTTTGCAGACGGTGGTGAACAGGACGGAATTTTTGATATTGCTACCATCCATTTAATATTCAGATTTGCAGACGGTGTCCAACACGTCTCAGAAAAATTATAAATTGTTGACCCGTTGAGGATCGAATTCACGACTTGTTGATCATCAAGCTATCACCAAAGAGCCGGAAAAAATGAATGTCTTAAGTTCTGAACATTGTTCCTATTTTGCTATCTATACTTAAGTAAGGCACTTAGAATACGCTACGCACTAGTGTATCACCAATAAGTTGTAATGTGCAGTTCTTACCATTGAATTGAGCTGCGCGAGGTGATGATGATGGTAAGGGTTATGCGAGGCCGGTGGCGGGGCGAAGCCCTGGTGTGGCGCTCCGTACCAATGCGACATGTGTGCAGCTGCAGGGTGTACTAAACCTACTTGGTGCTGACCTGTGGGCCAAAATATAGATTTTAGAGAACTGAAATACTGTCAGTAGTTTTCGCGAGTAATACACATTTAAATAAAACATTTTAACGGTTTATAACGCGAAATAATTTAGTTAAACTTGTCTCCCCGACAGTGGCTGCTGCAAAGCATCCGGAACATCGGACCGTAGTTAAAATAAATTTTCAAATAAGTTTAACTTTTAAAACTTTTAAACTATTAAAGTGTTTTATTTAAAAGAAACTGAAAGTTTTTTATGCATAAAAAAAGAGCTTTAGAGTTTGAGTTAAGCGCACGGAAGTCTTGGGATCCAAACCCAGGAACAAGGCAAGGCAAGACATAGAACAGTCTGTAACTTTATCATCCTCCTTTTTTCCTCTCATGCCCTGCCCTTCTTTTCCACTTCTTCTTGTATTAGAGGTTTTAAAAAGAATTAAATAGAAGATGCTAACCAAAGTCCATTGCTGAAGGAAAAGCGGAACCACCGAAGCCCTTCGATGCGTCTCCTAGAGGTTTGATCATGTCACCCATGACTCCCCCTAGAGCGAGGGCGCACGCTCCACCTCCTCCCATACCCATTCCTCCCTTCTTCTTTTTGCTCTTACTGCTGAGCTTCCGATTTCTTGTCTGGATGCCTTCTTTCTTCATCGTCAAAGGTCGGTTTACCTGTAACAAAGATATTTAAGTTCATTAATCAATCTATCATTATTGTAGTAGATGGGAAAGTGTGTTCATATGTATCTATGTTTGTTTTCTTGCCACTTCCTAAAGACTTGGCTGACTTGAATGATGTTTTGATACGAAGTATTTTTTAGTTCTAGAAGTAGAATTTGATCATGAAATTATTTTTTTCTTTTCTAAATATAATAAATGTGACTTTTAACAATGTTTTCCTGTACTATTAAACTGTTACTAAGTGTTATTTGTATACGGTTCTGTTCTTTAAAGAATTAATTAAATCTGATACCACGGCCATCGTAACTGGGTCTTCTATTTTATTGTTGCTAATTACTAAAAATAATATAACATCCTGTAAACTAGGTTGTTCTTGCAAAACGAATGTCGAAAGATCAAGCGAAAAAATAGCAGTTAATTATGCGATAGCGATCTGCTTAATTTTTTTATTATATTATATTGTGAAAGCGAATTTAACGAGCACCGTAGCTGGTTTGCTAAACAATAAGAAAAAAATACAACAATTAGTTGTCTTCACATAACACGAGGTTAACAATCGTAGCAAGTGACTCGGTTTATTGCTATGACACATTAAAGTAGATAAAGTGCGAGTTAGATTTGCGCCCGAGGGTTCCGTACTGCGTTTTACTATTTACGTATGTATAAAATACAAAACGTGTTTGTTCTTCGACTTTAAAAACTTAATATGAACCTAATATAAATAATTATTTTCTTAGTATATTAAGGGTTTACCTATTTCCCTATGATCTGTCGTATTTAAGGATTGTCTCTATATTACACTTTTAATGGTTTAATACGCGATATATATTAGTTAACTTATTTTTTTACTACGGCCTGATTGAATTCTAATTTAAATAGCTATGGCATATTCCATGTTTTAAACAGTTACAAGAGGTTTATTTAAATGTGTCCTATTTTTTTTGTTTTCTGACGTTATAGCAGCAACTGAAATACCTTTATTTTTAGTTCAAATGCCTTATTAGCCCTGAACGTAATACTAGAAGTATTATTTATAAGTTAAATTACAGCTTGGGTTAACTGACAAAAGCATTACTACATGAGAATTGGTACTTTAAGTATGTATGTAAATTATAGATAGTAGTAATTGTAAGTTGTAAATAAATAGTCAGAAACAGGATAAAGTTCTCTTTGGTCACAATAAGTCTTCGCATGCGGTACCCTAAAAACGTTAGCGATACCAATTTCGAATGCTAAACAAACTTTAAAGCGGCCGGGACCATAAAATTGTATCACAATAGTCATGTGCGAATATTTAGTCGTTTGGTGAACGACGCCGACATGCGTGAAGAACACACCTCGTGCATCCTAATGCAAATGCACTCGGTCACCATTTTGTGGGAATCGGCGTAGTTCCTTCGCACGTCCAAACTGTTGATGTCATCGAGGTTCTGCGAACGGATTTCGAAGGATCTGCGGTTGACTTTCTAGTTGGGGAAACCAGTGATTCTACCTTTGACGGGCGGGTTGGTCTAATGGTAGTGTCGTAGGTTACTAAACTGTTGCGTGCTTCTTTCGTCCGTCGTTCTTGTTAACCTTTAAGATAGACTTCCTCAGATCATTTAAAAAATTGCTCTTTCATACATATTATTTGAGTATCTTCAACCGTTTTCGCAGCGTACGCAACGGACATCCACAAAGACGATTAATTTTCCCCATTTTCTCCACATTTCTTCGCTCCTATTAGTCTCAGCTCGTTGTTTGATGTGTGATGTTTTATAACATATACCGTTCCTTGATAAATGCTCTAACCAACACAAAAATAGTTTTTCACTTCCCACTAGTACTGCCTGAGATTAGCGCGTTGAAACAAACTAACTCATTAGCTTATATATTAGTATAGATTAAGACTATTAAAATTTAAGATTGAATAACATTGGGATGTACTTAGGCCTTAAGAAAAGTAGGTGAAGTTAAAATTTCTAGACATAGGTCACAATATCGGTCACTTCTGTGTATTCCTTGAATCGTGCGTCACAGGGGACGGACGGACAATGAGTTATTCATCGTCTTCGCTGGAACTTGACGGCGCATGATGCCCTAAACGCAAGATTTCAATGCACGCCGCCAAAGGCGCATGACCTGGTCTCATTAATTATTTAGGGCATCTTGCAATCAAATTGTAATAAAAATCACATTTTTTTAAAGAAAGACATGCATAGGATTCCTTTATAGAAGGTGATGTACCGCAGCCATACACAAATTCGCTGTCGGCCTATTTTAACTTTGGATATTCTAATAATGCAGCTGAAGCCATCAGCGTTGCGGCATTAGATCCAATGATTGCGGCCTTCCATGAACCGTTAAACAAAGTCAAACTTTAAAATGTAAATAAAACACTATTTTAAAGTTTTAAGCGCAAAATATACTAAGTTAACTTATTTTTTTATGGATTATAACTATAGCCCGACGTTTTGGAATCTTTACGGTAGCCGTGGTTGTGGAAGGAATGAGGATGAAGGTTGAAGAAAGTAAAAACAAAGTCGCTGTTGGAAAAATAAGTTACCTAACATATTTGGCACTGTAAACCGTTAAAAGTGTTTTATTTAAGTGTAAACTAATACTAGTATTGTCTTTAGTTTCTTTAAATTACATTTGGCAATAGTCATATTAACCATTCTTCGACACGAGTCTATGTTTTGAAGCTTAGACGAAATTTTGATATTACTACCACCATTTATGTGTTTTACACATAAAACGTCATGTGACTCTGTAATCGAACCCACGGCTCATTGTAACCGCTACTATTGCACCAGACATCCCCTCAGGATCCAGTGCGTGCTAATTCCTCGTGGCCCTAATAAGTTCATGCGAATCGCCCACACAGCGTGCATACCGCGCCGTCTCCAATTGAACCAATATAAAATGCATTAACGTCATACGCCGGCAGATTTGCCAACAATTGGGTCATTGAAGCCTTCGCGTTCCTACCAATTGCTGGAGCGCAAGGTCCCAAGACCGCAGTCTCTTATCAGACCAAGGGTACGTCAATTTTAGCTAATATTACGTAATGACCGGGTCAAGTCTGATAGTGGTATTACGAGGGAAGACTAAATGCAATATCAACACTCATCTGCCATTTGAAAATATTGCACATGTTGGCGTTATATAAATAAAAACGTAATTGGTTAGAACAGGCAGCACGGCACGCTGTAGATTCCGGTTCAATTCCTGCCCGTGTCGTAATTTTTATCAATCTAAATTCGATCTTTTATTTTATATAAATAGTAATTTTAAATATGATGATTAATTAATTATTAAATTAATTTATTAAAACCTTAAGTTCAAAACGCATAATTTATATTAAGGAAGACAGAAAAGATAATACAATAGATCACTCCTTCATAAAAAATAGTTTAGGTTAAATCTGTACTTTAATGAAAAGTATTTTTAACTGTTTAAAACGCGAACTATATTCGTGACTGTAATCATATGATCATGCTGCTGTATTCGTAACGTTACAAAGTACGTTTAAAACCGTTCAAAATATAATAGTAGCGTATTGTAATTTGTTATCTTTTAGTGACTTAACGATGCCCATACATATAAAACAACTGCGGCCGGCAAATGTATGTAAATGACACATCAAAATGGTCGCACAATTTATATTACAAACGTCTTAATATGCCCAACATCTCAGCGTAAAAAATGGTATTAAAAACCAACCAGGAAAATGTTCACATAGTCATTCGTACGTAGTTTGCATGCGAAATGTACTTCCTTCTTAGGGCATACTACACTCAACGGACGCGTTAAAAATGGCAATATTTTTATCCAAAGAAGCGTTGATAACAAATCTACGTTTGTACATACGTAGATTTGTTTTAATGATCTAGTTAACTGATTTTACTACCACAGATTTACGTACGTAAGTACGTTTTATGTAAATAAATTCGAGATTCAAATACACTATCAACAAAATAAAACAAATTTAACCGGGTTAAAATAGGGTTGCATTTGTATCCCGGGTCTTCAACCATGGACCTCATAATTCTTTTAAGCTATTGTGTAATCCTTGAGCTATAGCGGTAGTTTAAAACATATTACAAACAATTTTAACCTAGTAAAATGCGATTAATTCTTATATTAAGAAGTTTAATTAAGTCCTAAGTATTCTACCTGTCCGTCACTTGGACTAAGACATCCGCCATCTTAGTGCATTGCTTAATAACTGGCTATTATGTTAGGTAATTACAACGCCAGTACACGACATGCTCTATATAACTTATCATAATATAGTGAGGTATACATTGTTATATATAAGCTGCTAATGAATATGTTGCTATGAAGCCATACATAGATAAAATAGAAGTGAAATTACAGGAGGTAAGATTGAGTCTGTTTTTTAATTCGTCGTAACATATATCAATACTATACATAATATAAAGCTGAATGGTTTGTTTCTTCGAACGCGCTAATTAAGAACGACAATTCGCGTGGAAAATTTATTTTTGTGTTGGAGAGCATTTATCGAGGAAGGCTATAAGCTATTAAACATTGTGGTGCGAAGAAACAGCGGGAAATGTGTAAGAAACGGCGAAAATTATTCATTCTTGTAGGATTCCGTAGCGTACTGTTTAAATGATGTCCACGACAATATGTTTATCTTTAAAAACTAATTTTCAAGAAAGACGGGACGCGGACGACGTCTTGGGTAATAGCTTAATTTTATAGTGTTGAACATCAGGTTCGCAAAAGTAAATTTGTTGCCCTAAATAACTATTCTCATATATCTAATCTAATGTTTGTCCGGGATTTTACTTACTAAATACTCTAAGTTTACACTACCAGTTCTCAAATCAAGGGCGTAGAACGAACGAGAAGAGCAAGAAACTCGCCGCCACGTTTTTTATCGCCAGGATTATTTTACAGTCTTCACGTATATTAAGTATAACATATTCTTGATAGAGGGGGTTTCTTCATTGTGAACGAAGACTACATCCATTACAAAT